GTATATCAGTTGACGACTGAGACTTCGTTTTTCGAAATAACTTCCGTTGTAATAGTAGTAAGTGGAATTCCATTCGCTTGGCAATCCGTAATTCGCCTCGAAATAAAACGACATCGATACAGATTTGTCGGGAATGTCTACGGGAATACTCGAGGCAAAGAATATCTATAAAAAAAGATAGAGAATGACAAAGTATTTGTTCTGAAAGTATTATTTTATACATATATATTTTTTTAAAGTAAGACAAAGAGAAAGTAATAAGTAAGTATAATAGAATAGAACCGCACGCGCTGTGGACATACCGACATGTCGCTCGTGGACTGGCTGCGTGGTTCCAATGTGTACCACCCGTGGACATGCGCTAGTTTACGGGGCGAAAAAGTGATTACACATTCTCTTATGGACCTGGCCGCTCTCAGGCTTCTCTCTGCTTATACCTTCTTAAAGCTTAAGTCTTAAATTCTTATTGTAGACGACTAGTCTGAATTATTTGGCGCAGTACCAGCAGGAACACAACAAATTTCTCATAACCTTTATTTTATTCTAACCTAAAAATCATTAAAAATACATAGTGCAATGCCGAGAGTCTGAACGCAAACTGTATAGCACATTAAACAAAAAAAAAAAAAAAAAGAAAATAGTGCAGGCTAACACAAAAAAAAAAGAATTTCGTCGCTATCATGAACAAAATATACAGTTTTAAAAGAATATTGACACAATTACGACCTCTCAATGGTCTGAGAACGAACTTTGTTGAGAGCAATGCGAGATATCTCAGTTCCGACAAAAATTCAGAAGTAGAAACTAAAGATTCGTCAAATGCAGAATCTGACAAGATTGAAAATGAAGTAAAGGCGGAAACATCGAAAATCGAGCCAAAGCGGAGTGGTTTTGCACAAAGTTATGAAAAATTTACGCATCTTGATGACAAACAACCTCAGGAAGCACCTCAAACGTTTGCTTCCTTGCTTCGTAATTCCAAATTTATTGACGTAAGGATGTTTCATTTATTCATACCAAATCATGCTCAACTCTGTTTAATTTTTCATGTTAAATTTGTAATATATTTGTTTTATTTTTAGTTGGGAGATCCCGAAGGAAAGCTAGTAACTGGCAAGATATTTCACGTGGTTGGTGATGATTTGTACATTGATTTTGGATGGAAATTTTATTGTGTTTGCAAAAAACCTGCAAAAAACGGACAGTGTGTATCAAAATACTTGGCTTTTTTTTTAATTTTAACATTTTATCCGTCTAAATATCTTCATTATTATCAAGTATCATTTTTTATTCTTTTTATTGTTTTAGATATTATGTGAGAAGAGCTACGGTTAATCTGAGAATAAAGGAGTTAGAGCTCTCTTCCAAGTTCTTAGGTGCCGATACAGAAATAACTCTTTTGGAAGCTGATTGCACGCTGATGCGTTTAATATACTCGCCAGTACAAGCAGCGGAACGAAGAACAAGCAGAGCAAGAATACGAAATATTTAATATTTATGCTAAATAAAACTTAATGTAATCTCTGTATATATCACAGCTGTGTGTAAGTAACTCTAGTCTAATTTGTTTTTCCAGCAATTACATTTCAAAGTAACAAATTTCTATTTGTATAGCAATCACATGTGGACTGATTTAGATGATGAGAAAACCGTGTTTCAAATTAAAAACTATTATATCGGATGAACGTTTATAATTTGTAATATCGATGAAAATTTATATATATATGAAAATACACATATTGAGCAATTTTAAGTATGGCGCCAACACGGTTTTTATCCAATTAGATTGCGGTCAGCATAGCGCTCCAAATGCTTTGCGAAGCAAAGTTAGTCCATTTGTCATCGAACATAGAACGAAGATAGAATGATGGTGTGAATCATTTGTAGCGCCGCCTCGCGAAGCAACCTTTATCGGATGCGTGATATGTCAACAGAGGTCATGTGAACGTTTTGATCGGTGACATCCAGAGTTCCTATCCTTGACGATCCTTTTGTTTCGTGGCCAGGCGTCGTGCGCGGGTGCGGGTTTCGTTCTGTTCTCTCTGTTGCGTGTCTCTTCCTGATTCTTTCTTTTTTTTCGCAATCTTTAGCACGCGAGAAACACGTCGCGCAAAAACACGTATCGCGTTTGTCGTACAAAGTTTTTTTTTTTTTTCTGACGCGTTGATTTCGCGATTTTGTTGTGTCGCTTGTTGCCGTTCGACAAGGAATGGAAAGAACCCAGGGATAAGCCGTAATTCGGCAACCATTGCAAGCCTAAATTCAACGGTCACAAAACACGGTAAGTCCATTTTGAGTATTGTGTTGTCAATTTTATTATCTTCGATCAAGATTAATTGGTCGATTGTGTGTCAATTGTAATTAATTAGCCGTTGCGAGATTGTTACGCTCGGAATGTTCAGCCTAATTGTTGTTGATTAAGTTTGGTTAAACCGGGGTTTTTGTTTTTTTTTATCTATTCTGTAAAACAAACATTGTAATGTCTTTATTTGTTGCCACAAAATTAAATTAACGCACGTTGTGCGATCGAAAAATACGCTCGCTAAGAGCAAATCAGGTGACTCGGTTTGATATATTCTGTTTTTTTGTCTTTCGTTTTTTTGTAGTTCGAATGAAACTGCTAGTAATATGTCACGAGTGTGTTTACGACTTCATAATGTGACTATGCTTAATAGGAATTAACTGATAATTGTGAATATATAAGGATTGTAAGCAAGTTTAATCAAAACATTCGTATTTGTGTTTCTTTCCCGATTACGTGTTTCTTGTACAAGTGCAAAAGAACAATAAAAAGTTGATGTAAAAAAAAATGAAAGGTTCCGATCGTTGCGTGTACGGCTCTGCTATAAAAAATACTCATCGCGTCTCGATTACTTAATATCCGCTCAACTTTCTACTCGCGCGAGCACGTAGGCGGTTGTTCGATATTTACATTTAAATGTTATGACTAGCGCATTTTTTTCGAACTGTATGACGCGAAGTGTTTGTATCGAGATAATTACTTTCATTATATTTATTTTATGCGTTATTATGTAAAACTTTGTTTTAAAACAATATAAAATTGTGATTTTTGTTTTTATAAGTATGCCAAGATGTATAAAATATTCTCAAAAAAGTGACTAAAATTACAGAAAATGTGTAATACTCGGGAGTTCCTACATTTATACACGTATAAATATAATTTGCAATGTGTTTAATTTGAATATTGACTTAATTTACAATGATAAGCTAAATATAAAAATAATAAATATTATTTGAAAAAACATTTTCACATAATTAAACTTTTCGGTCGTTTGTATTTGATTACTTTAAAAAAAAAATCATTTTATTTTTTGCAGAAAAAAAATGGAGAAACCAAACTTTGAGGGGCCTAATGTTCAACCAACAGCTCCTTTACCAACAGCTCCTCCATCTTATGAAGAAGCTATAGCTAATGCAGGACCACCTGTGCATCCTCCAGTTGGTCCTGCACCTTATCCTATAGGACTTCCTCCTGTACAAATGCCGATTCCATGTATGTGATATGTGTACAAAGTACAAATTGTACAAAAGCAAAACTTATTTGAAATTTTATATCATTTTTATTTTATAGTCAATCTTTATATTTTATTTTATTTGTAATACTTTATATATGTATATTGATACCTACTGTATTTATTTTGTATTTTTTATTTATTTGTTTTACAGATATAAATTTTTATTAATCAAGGTTTTTTTAAGACAGAAAATAAGAATAATGTCATATAATATATGCAATTTCAGATAATCAATCAGCAAATCAAACAGTAATATCAGCGCCGGTGTATCCATCATCGAGCCAATCAGCACAATCACAGCCACATTTTAATGCTGATCCAAATTCTGTACCTCATCCGGAAGTACGGGTTATTCATCAACATTTAACGTATACTCTAGGGCCGCATGCCGTGAAAATGACTTGTCCCTCGTGTCATGTCGATATCAAAACTAGCACGATATCGGATCATAAGCTGTGTGCTCACATTTGTTGCTTCCTGATGTGCATATTTGGGTGAATAGCAAATTCTTTATTATTTTTAAATAATTTTTCTTTCTTGCGCTCTCTCTTTTTTATATCAATTATTTAACGAGGCTTTTGTTCCTCCATTTGGTGCGTCTGAATTTATATTTACTCACTATACTTTGTTGTTTTTTTTTTTTTTTTTTTTATAAAACTTTATACTTTCGAACATTGTTATCGACTATAAAAATATGAAATTATTGTTTGAGAGTATAAATTAATGGTTGCTATATGTAATTTCTGACAAAATAATTTTATACATATTAACAAATTTGAAGTTATACATATGACGCGCGTTAGCTTTGTTTGTTAATTTAAATTTAAATAAACAAAATTGTTTATAGTTCGCTCTGTGTTATAATCGGGAAATTCGATGATTTCTCTTTTCAGATGCTTCCTGTGTTCATGCCTACCGTACTGTATGACTGCCTGTATGACGACACATCATTTCTGTCCAAACTGCAAAAATTATATTGGCACATGGAAAAATTGATCTCGAAGATACATATGCTTGTATATAACTTGCAGCATTCCAATAGATTAAGAAGTTGTGCAGTTCCATAAAGAGTTACTCGATTTATTATCACACATTAATAATAACAGAAAAATTGCTGAGTAATGTTATACATATGTTGTACCTTACATAAGTAAGGTAAGTCTCGAGAGAGATGTGTATATACACATGTATACACATCTCTGTGTATATACATATATACATATACATAATACATATTCATATATATACATGTATATACATAAGTATACACGTATATACATAAATATACATTACACATATATATTATTAATATTATTCATGTTTGTTAAAACGTGCGTGATACATATTGACTAGACAGCGTTTTAGATAGCGGGACAGAGAATATCTTACGACTCGTGAATCAAGAGCTCAAGAGACATGTAAGAGATAAATGTTTCTCAATTACTTTCATTTGTCATTTATACATTTAAGATATAGTTCTTAGTTCAATTTTTTGAAGTTTAAAATTGTAAACCACTCCTGATGTCTAAACAGTATTAGATTTAATATTACTCTGATATTTAAATTTGCATATTTGCGAATATTTATGAAGTTAGAAAAATAGTCATTAGACTGTTACAAAATTATATGAATATTACAATGAGCAATATTTTGCTATTTGAAAAAAACATTGCTCAATATAAAGTTTTTTTAATGTCACAAAATGCATTTTTTACATATTTTATTTTAGCTCCATTTATATGATTGTGTCGATAGAGCGCATTTAATTAAGTGTTCAGCAATAAGCCAACTGCAAAATCTCTACTGCAATTACAGATAAGTTAAGACTACTAAGAAACTTAGATATAAAATAAAAGATATTTTAGAGTTGTGAATAATCTTATATTTAACTGATTATGTTTTTGGCAGTTAATCAGAACGTAAGAAGAATTTTATTTAGGGCAGCATAATTCTTGCACAAAAGAGTATATTTTGCAATGAGAGACTTGTATCAGGCATTTCAAAAAACTTAAGCTAGTCTGTGTTGGAATGTATTTTATTTTATCAATTTTGCGTTTATTTTATGTAAGTAATATGTGCTATACGAGTTTTTGTAAACATTTATAACGTAAAAACTATATTTACGCACACATAGCTCTGTGTTTTATTCTTTCCTATTATTAATCCTTATAAACCAAATATTGTCAATTAAAATATTGGCCTAGCAATTGTATTTTTCACTATTTTCACTATTTAGGAATTGAGATATAGTTTTGTGTTTACAGAAAAAGAGAGAGAAAAAAACAAACTTTTAATTTAACTTTTCAATGCCAGGCTCGTTATTGTCTTCTCCCTGTCTTTTTATTTAAACACATACAACGAACACGAAACTTAATTAAAATCATTGACCTTTTTTGTAAAAGTCAATGACTCTTACAAAGATCGGTGACTTTACCATAGTCACTTGACCAAGGTCAGTGACCTTACCGTAGTCACGCGACTAAGGTTAGTGACCTTAGCGTAGTCAGTGATCTTACTTTATTTACGGTTTTAAAGACACGTGACTAAAGTAACGTCATGTGACAGAGAGAAAAGGAAAAACAACGCGTGATAAAAACTCTCTCTCTCTACGTGACTGCACTTTAGTCACGTGTCTTTAAAAATTTCGAAAGTCAAACTTCGCAACGCTATTGAACAAAGGACACTGTCAACGATTTCGTTATCTAAGGTTCTATTCATGATTTTCAGAGAGAGATGTCGCGTTAAATTAATATCTGGTAGAGACACTGGTTTAAAACTTTTTTGGATGGATTTCAGAAACCGATATCTGGAACTGAAGGAGAAGTTTTATTTATGTTGTTTTAATGCATACAGAATATATTGAAGCTTAAGAATTTATAATAATTAAAAAGCATAAAACTTCTTTTTACATACAGTTAGTTTGGTGTACGAATAAGATTGTTATTGCTTCTTATATGTAACCAACACACACGTTTTACCAAAGGTTTACAAATCTATATAAATATATAAACTACACTTTCATCGTTACATATTAAACATCAGTACTTTTGTATTTTCAAAAAGCAATTGGTGTACCATTTGCGTACAGTTATAAGTACAAGTACAGTATGCTTTTCGGGAGTATAATTTTGAATCACATAAAGTTTTCTACGAACACCTCTCGGCGTTTTACCCGTATATAGTACGTATAACACACGTTTACATATCCGAATTAAAACCTTCATGCGACCGGAATTGTTGCTGAGCAACTTGAGAGTAATCTACGTCTATCGGTTTGGTATCGTCATAGAGTGCCGGAGCTTCGCATAGAATTATGAAAGTTCCAACTATGGAGGCTATCGAAAAGAGCCACAGAAATAGACGGTCGAGAACCATCGCGACAAAGCCCCAATCTTGATCTTCCTGTAATTATATAAGAAGAAAAGAAATTGCAATTTAACAATTAGTAATAAGATTAGTAATATTCAAGACCAATTTATATTCATTGATTAGTTTAAATTGCATTTAAGTTTATAAGTTAGAAAAAAATAAAG